TATATATATATGTATATTTTAAATATATATTTAGTATATATGTTTTGAGAGTATTTTTTAATGTCGTGGAATATATAAAATTAAATCCTCTTTATCAATTATTTTATTTGAATTTTATTAAATTAATTTTTTGTTTTTTTTTTTTTTTTTTTTGATTTTACATGAAAACAATTTTGTAATTTTATTTTTTGGGGGAAAAAAAAAAAACGGTTAAACGGTTGTACGTATAACATTCCCATGATAATAATAATAAATGAGATGGATCATGTGTGTTCGTTTTGATACAATTTAAAATTAAATTTTTAAATTGTTAATTGTGTATTTTAATAAAAATTAATAAAAACAAAAATTCATTTTAATATTTTAACGTTTTTTTTTTTTAAAATGTTTTTGATTAAAATTATATAATATATAAAAAAAGTTTCAAGTATGATTTTTTATTAGTACTTGGAGTACGTACATATTATTACTCTATGGAATGGTTTTTTTTTTGAGAATAAGTGTTAGGTTGGTACTCTTGATTTCCTTGTCAGCGCGTTTGGAGGATCCCAAATCATGGTAAGTTAATTTAATAAAAATTTAATTCACGAATTATCTTTTCCATCCTTATTGCATTTGCGATTATTTTGATGTTAATTAAATTTTAATTTGTTTTATTTTATTTTAGTCTGCTCACAAGACATTTAAGATAAAAGCAAAACTTGCTAAAAAGCTCAAACAAAATCGACCCATTCCACAATGGGTTCGTATGAGAACGGGAAACACAATCAGGTATTAATTATGCATTTTCAGAAACAATTTTACTTTTAATGTAAAATATAAATAGTAAATTTAATGATGAAAACCGAACGGGCGGACAGAATATTGCTGTTGACTTTCGGTGTACAATTTTTCTGACTAGTTTTTTGAATCAAGCACAGTAACCGTTGGTGAACGGTTCAGTACAAAAAATTTGTAAATTTTTAAAATATGTTTATTCTTAAATTGTTTCTTTTTGTATTATAAACTCACTCTTGTTGCTTGTTATAAAGATCAAAGAAATCAAACCCAAAATATTATTTAGTTTTTACTTGATGCAAGCATACTTATTAAGATCCAAATGCATTATATATAAAGCTATATTGTAATAATCAATTGACAAATCGTTTTGTATGTTACTTCATTTAATGATAAATACCCTAATTATTTTACTGTGCTGAAGTTAATAATTTTTACTTTTAGTATTACTTAAACTTTCCTTAAAGTGCTTATATTAATTTACACTTCTTTTTTTCTTTTTCAGATACAATGCTAAGAGAAGACATTGGAGAAGAACTAAACTAAAATTGTAAATGATGATCGACAAGGGGGTTTTATTTAACTTTATAAGTTCTATAAAAACTGTAATTATAAGTTTACAAGCTTTTTAATATAAATAAATGTAAAAAAAATTATATTTTAATTCTTTTTTTTTTTTTCATCTTAATTTCTTAATTTGTGCTTTTAGATGTTTTATACGTTGTAAGCAGTTAAATTAATGCCATAAAGAAAATTCAAGTTGTTATGAAAATATA